TGAAAACACATGTTTTAGCAGCTGCGAATTTCAATTTGCGTCCAAATAGTGAATGGAGAGCGAGAGAGAAAAGTAAAGAAAGAGAGAAAGGCAAACAGAGAGAAAAAGATAGAGAGGTAGAGAAAGATAGAGAGAGAGAGAGAGGTAGGAAACAAATGGAAATAGACAGACTGTGGTAAAGAAAAAGACGGAATAAGAACAGAGAAGTCTCACACGACATAGAGTGAGGATGTTAAAAAGAGGGAGAGAAATAGAACGGCAGAGAGAGAGAGAGAGAGAGAAAAGTTCAGAGACAGATGCATAGATAATGCCAAACTATTCATAAATAAAGTGTTCAGATTATATATACACATACATATATACATTTGTAGCAATTGAATAAGAGGTATTATTCCAGGAGAGGGACGAGGGGGCATTGCTCTATGGGGCGACGATCAGTATAGCAAAAAGTGGAAAGCCCACAGATATGTCAGTTCAAGTTCAGTTTAGCTGTCTAAAAGTTGCCATTCTGCAGCTTTGAGTGCCTGATAATCTGCTCTACCGATTACAAAACAAGGCGTGGCACATTAGAAATAACTGGAGTTCAAATGAATTGTCTGCTATTTTTGCCACTATCCACAAGTATTCAGCAGTCGAAGTGCGTGCAGTTGCAATGCTTTGCATATGTTTTTGCTCTGATATGCCAACTCTACACACACATACACACGCACTCACCCACACACACACATGCACACACGTGTGCGCACAACATTTTGCAATGGCAGGCGCTTAATCAACGCTCTGTGAGCTTGCTGTATAATAAATATAAATAAGGCTAAAGCGATTTGTTTGGCTTTAGCTAACGACTCCCAAATGCAATTGGGCATTCATCATACGCACTGTGGTCCAGTTTCAGTTCCAGTGCCAGTTCAGCCAGCAGTCGCATTACGATTTCTTCTGCTATGCGAAATGTATGCGTGAGAATGTGTGCGTGAGTGTGTGCGAGAGTGTGTGTGTGTGTGTGTAACTGCAAATCCCCAAATAAACATTTAAATAATTTACTACGATTCTCTCAAAACCCCACACTCTCGCATGGCTTCCCTCTCTCACTCTCTCGCCCTCTCTCTCTCTCTCTCTCTCACTCTTGTTCATACTCTTCCTCCTCAATTACTGTCAACAATAATACGGCACAGCAGTTGCATATGAAATATTTATGACTGTCTTAGTGTGTGTGCGAGTGTTTCCCTCTTACTCTCACACACACTTTCGCTCCTACTCTGTGTGTTTGTGTCATGTGGCATGCCGTTACATTTCCGACAGCGACAGCGACAACGGGGCACAAGCTCAGTGCATTATGCAACAACAATAGCAACAACAACAACAACAGCAACAGCAGAATTCGCATGCCAGCTACAAACAAACAAAAGCTACAAAATGAAGTATGAGGTCAGCACACAACAGCAGCAACAACAACAACAACAACAGCTTGAGCCGCACAAAAGAAAAGCACATGATTGTCGCTTGAAACTTGAGCCAGAGCAACTAACCTCATGACATCAGCTTTTTGGTTTTCAACTTATTACAATTTCCATATAACCTCCAACGCGCCCCGAGGCGCCTGCAGCTGGACTCAAGCCCCCAAACACCCTCTCCCCACTCTCTCTCTCCCTCTCTCACTCTCTCTCTCCCTCTCTCTCTCTCTCTTGCCCCTCCGCACAATACAAATGTACAAATGTGCATATGCGAGTGTTATGAAAAGAAAGCAGCAGCAAAACAGCAACAGAGACATTGCTGGCATGGCATAACTGTTGTTGTTGTTGTTGTTGTTGCTGTTGGGCGGCAAATGCCATGTCCTTCATTTCGCTGTGCCACGTTCCAGCTCCAGTCCCAACCGCCTCCCGCCTTCCGCCCCCCGCTCGCATTCTTTGCTCGCTAGCAGTTGCCCTTGCGAGGGGCGGGGCTGGCAGCAGCAACTGCTGTGGGGGTCTTTAAGTTTTATGGCACCATTGTGTCAAGATAATAATATGTACGTTTGCTCTCTCACTCGCTCACACACTCCTGCTCTCTCACGCTCTCACTCTCTCGCCCTGTATACGTGACTGCATTTAAGTGCATAGCTGTGTTGCACACACACACACACACACACTGACGCGAGCGACACAGACATTGGCACATAAAATAGCATTCCACTTGCATAACATTTACTAGAGAATTACTCTAAAACTGCGCTGCATTTGCGACAAAGCTAACAACACAGGCAACACCCACCAAGACGACCCATCCACAGTCGTACAACAGCCAACATCAGCTGCTTTTATCAATTTAAATGAATTGCACACGAGTGTGTCATAAATTCATGCCGCATGACATTTTGCTAATGTTTGTTTGCAAATAAGTTGCCATGGACATTGCTTAATTAAATATACTAACCATACTTTTACATAAAATAAATACATATAAATACACACACACACACACATGTATACATATACATTGGCTAAGCCAAACTTCCACATTGTTTTGTAATTAAAATGAGCAACGAGCGCCGCAGTTTGCCACCAAAATTTTCAATTTCCATTTATATATAATATATACATAAATACATTATAAACATACACATATACATACATGCAAAAGTTTTTTCATACATACATCATTTCTATTTTAGCATCTCTGTTAGATACAAAATAATAAAAATAATAATAATAAAAATTATAATAAAAACTAAAGTAAAAACATATAAAAAGAAACCAAAAACAGAACCTCGAAAAAGAAAGAGAAAATAAATATCATAATAAAAAGGCAGCTAAAAATTATGAGTTACGTTCAACTTGCTGACCAAATGGCAAAGAGAACAAAATTTAGCTTTTTTTACATTTTTATGGTTTTTAGCATAAAAAATAAACCAAAATGAAAACTCTAAAGTCACTCGTGCGTGCGAATAAACAAATAAAATAAAAGAAGAAAAAATTATAAAAACAACTTAGAATGAAGCAGTCGAGCTTAGCCAGCTGCATAATACGCGTTCAAGTTTGTCTAGAAGCTAAACTCAAAAATATTAAATAAAATTATAATAATGAAGCCGAAATTCCTCACTTTTGATTTTATATCAAGTTCAACTGCCAAATAAATAAATAATAATAATCATTAAAAAAATAAATAAAAAATAAATAAATAAATAAATAAATAATAATATCAAGTTCAAGTGCCAAATAAATAAATAATAATAATCATAAAAAAAAAATAAATAAATAAATAAATAATAATATCAAGTTAAAGTTCCAAATAAATAAATAATAATAATCAATAAAAAAATAAAAAAATAAATAAATAAATAATAATATCAAGTTCAAGTGCCAAATAAATAAATAATAATAATCATTAAAAAAAATAAATAAGAAATAAATAAATAAATAAGACTGTGAAGTATATTCTAGAAGTTCATTTAAATTCCATTTCATTTGAAGTTAGACACAATAAATACAGAAAATAAATAATACTAATAGTAAACACTTTTAATTAATTTACATATTTGCTTTAATTATTATTTATTAAAAAAAAATAAATAAATAAACAATTAATATAATACTCCGAAAGATTCTGTAAATAATTTTTTACTATCTCACATCTTTAAATAATTTTTTTTTTTTTTTAATTTATAAAAATAAATAAATATAAATATAAATTACTATTAATTAAATAAATAATGTAATTTAACTTTAGAGCATAACAACAGTGATTCAACTTATCGATCCTTTACCAGACTACTAGACGATGGTATATATCATTTATTCATATATAATTTATTCTCATTTGTCTCATTTATGCAACCAAATGAACAAACATCAAGACGAACACAGAGGCTAAGCCTATATACTCTTTCCCACATGCTGGGCGAGCATAAAAGCAAGACAGCATCGTCGCAGCAGAGCTCAGCTCAGCTTCATATCTACACCACTTAGTCTATATCAGCGCTCTCCATTTACTGCCCCTTGCCCTCTATCGCCCTCCCTCACTCTCTCTCTCTCTCTCTCTTTATCTCCTGGTCCCACTCTGGCTATCTCTTGTCCTTTCATTACGCGTAGCAAGTTGCGGCGAGTCGCCTCTTGTTGACCTATAAATAATGTGGCAAATTTGCGAGGCACAATAAATAAATTTCATTCAGTATGCAAATTAATGTAGGAACAAAAAGTCCAATATATACCATGCTTTGCATACAGTTATATACATATATAAGTATATATACAATTAGGGCGCTTTGTAAAGCACAACGGTCCAATTACAATGCCAAATACAAAATACTTACAAGGAATACGCCCATCGCTCCATTGTGCACTGCAATCTGAACGAGAATCTGCTTAAGACAATCAGAAATGGTCGCAAGCCGAATTCTAATTGGATTGACAGCTTTCATTGAATGCAAATTAAATACAATTTAAGCGAGTTTATAAACATTAAGAGCAAATGACAACAATAGCAATAACAATATCAGTGAGGCAAAACTTCTCAAATGCTGAAACTTTCATAATTTGCGAAAAAAAAAGGAATAAAAATAAAAATATATAAAAAATGTTTCTAATGCCAAATAAATTGCATTTAAAATTCAAACTATAATTTCATTTATTATTTCATATTGATTTGTAATTTCCCTTAACAGAATTTGTTCACTGCAAATCAAATTATATCCAGAGAATCTAGAAAAACATTTTATTTAAGACAAGTCTGCTGTCCATGAATATGAATTATAAACGCGAGTATATAAAGCTGCTTTAGTGCAGAATTTAAAATCAATATAAATGAGGCGAAAATTCCCGCTCTTTGCCCACTGCCCAATTAAGCCAGCGAAAAGCCCATCGAGTCGGCGAAAAATCAAATAGGAATTCCGGGAATCAAAACTGAACATTGATATCAATTATTTGGTCCTTTGAAGTTGCAATCTTAAATCTTAAATTGAAGCTCGAGACGGAACAATATAAACTTATCTGATTTATGTGCTTTTCTTGTTGCCACTTTCTTTCCAGAGACCAGATGGATCAGTTCAAACTTATTAAGAGAGCAGCGCAAAATAACTGACAATTCCCCAGAGTGAAGGAAAACGGAAAACGCAAAAGAAAAGGAAATATATATAAACATACACATACATATACATATATATAAAGTGTGTAAAGGACATTACATTAAAAGCGATTCATCATCGACGTGACGTTGTGATTGTGTCGTTTGTTGTTGCTGTTGGCCAAGAGCAAAAACACTAGCAGCAGCAGGAGCAGCAGCAGGAGCTGAAGCAGGAGCAGCAAGAGCAACAGCAGCAAATTGAATGTAATTTCATAAAAAGCGAGTGTTAATTTTTTACTCCCTCTCGCTCGCTGTGTGTGAGAGCGTGTGTGTGTGAGCGTATGTGTGTGTACACAACAATAGTAGTAAGCAACAACAGCTACAACAATAGCAATAGCAAATACATGGCTCTTGGCTTAATGTGCTAATGCGCAGTGACATGAAAAATGATGGAGAACATGCAAGTTATACGCCCCCTGAAGTAGGAGGAGCCACAAACAGCTAGTGAAAGAATACGCAGGGCAGGCCAAATAACAAGCTGCAAATTTGATACAAACAACAAGAGAGGAAGAAGCAGAAGCAGAAGAAGTGGCAGCAGCAGCAGGGAGAAGCAAGTAGAGCAAGAGCAACGCATTGACAGGCGACAACAAAAGCGAAAAAGTGGTAGAAAAATCAGACAGGAAATAGCGAGAGCAGCAGGAAGGGACTGCAGCAATAGCAACAACTGAGAGCAGCAGCAGTAGCAGCAGCAGCATCATTTATCAGCGCATCAGTTGTACGGCAACAACAACAACAACTGGCAGCAACAACAACTGCACAACTAGCATATGTGTATTAGTTTTGTGGCGCCTTTTGTGCTGGCGTTTTTTTGCTGAAAGGAAACAGCGCGTTCATTCAAAAAGCCATTAACCCTAATAAGCGTGCCACAACAACAACAACAACAACTAGAAGAAGAAGAAGAAGCAACAGCAGCAGCAGCATCGATGTGCCATTGTGCCGTGTAGCCCCGTCGTAACTATTGAAAAGACGCCAACTAAGCTAAGCTCGCGCAGCTGTTGCAGCTGCCACGCAACACAAAGGAGACAGAGACAGGAACAGGGATAGAGCGAGAGAAACTGCTACAAATGTTGCCGCCACGGCTGCTGCGCTTGCGGCTGTTGCGTGTGCCGCTGCATTTAATGGAATTGCGCATTTTGTTGCTGTGCCTGCCCACCTTGCTGCTGGCCACAACGCTGGAAACAGGTGAGTGACACGCCCCACGCCCAAAATCTGACTGCCCATTTAATTAATGCAACAGCTATTTTAGCCAGCAACAACAACAACAACAACAGCTAGAACTGCGCGACAGTTAAAAGCGAATTCAGGTTTTAGTGGCCTCGAAACAATTGAATTTAAATGAAATTTTCGAGCGCGCAACGCCTCAGTTTATTTAGCGTATTTACATAAAGCGCGAGCTGGGCGCACTGGCCACGCCCACTCGTGCAATTAAATGCTATGCGCCTAAGCCTAGACGAAACTTTGCCAATTTACGGATTTATTACGCGAGCAAATTTTATTAGGCTCTGAGTGAGTGGGCCGGACCAAGCGAGTGGGCAGTAGCAGCAGCAGGAGTAGGAGTGGGAGTGGCAGCAGGTAGCTAGGCTAAGCAAGGCACCTGCGGCTAAAACTTTTTAGACCAAATATTTTCATTAATGGCCCAAAAGTGACTATGAAAGAGAGCGAGCGCAAAAGAGACAGTGAAAATAAGCTAAGCCATGGCAGACAAGCATGAACGACTGCATAATACTCTGTCGAGTGGGAGGAATAGCTCATGGAAAGAGATTTATAGAATTTGGGAGATTGAAGATGGGAGATGAGAGAAAAATATGAGGAATACAAAAATAGTTAAAGGATATAGACTATAGAACAATAGAAGATTGACGAAAAGGCTAGAACAAAGAGGATAGAAGCTAATAAAATTGAGAGATCGAAAATAGAATACAGATGTTAAATTATAGAAAATTGTTCCAGATAGAGGCTATTAGTTTTAATAGAAACTATATAAAACTGGGTAAAAATATATAGATAAATAAATAATAAATAAATAAAATAAATTTAGATATACCATTAAAAAAAGGCGGGGAAGAATGATAAAGAAGAGAAAATGAGGCATATCAAATACAAAATTATAGTGTTTCGAAGCTAAAGGATAGAAGACAGAGCATAAAAGACAGTAGATAAGAGAAAAGAGAGGAACATAAGACAGATGAGAATAAAATCCATAAGAGAAGAGAAAAGATAGAGGATATAAGGATATACGAAAATAAAAGCCAGAATGTAGAGGATAGGGGATAGAAGCTGGAAGGTACAAGATAGAAGATAGGAATGGATATAAAAAAAATTATTTTGAATTTTTGAAGTTACTCATTATTGTTATATTTTTTTCTTTTGCACAATCTATAGATAAGAATGATCGAATATAACTAGTCCAAAGGCCTTTGGGCTCTAGCTCTTTAGTAGTTATAGGCGCAGAAAAATATGCTACACATGTGAAACTCAAAGTTGTTTTATGATGAATTGATATTTCTCTTAAGCCTTCTGCCAACTTAAGTAACTGAAAGTTTAGTAGTTGAATTTTTAAATTTGAAATGTCATTAGTACAAATTCCTTTTCGTTAATAATGCCTTAGTTACGTCTGATTTTCAATGAAAGAATTCAAATAATTATAATCTCTTATAAGCTAAGCCTATCCAGTAGTAAATATGCCCAATTCGAACTATTCATTTCCGATATCAACGAAATGCTGTGCATTGTTAAAGACAGACGAAAGAATCTTTGCACTCTCTTTCTTCTTCCCACTCTCTCCACTCTGCGAGCGGGCATTGAAATGAAGAAGTACTTGCGCTGGTTAAATGTTTGTCATTTAATTTGAAGCGGGCGTGTGGCCTAGAGCTCAAGTGTAGCACAGTTTTTAGCTAAAAACTTTTTACGACAGACAAAGACACTGCGCAAGCCAGAGAGAGGGGGAGAGAGGGAGGGAGATAGCAAGCGAGGCGAGTGAGTGAGTGAGGTGAGCAGGTAAACACATTTTAAAGTCAGCCTCGGCTTGGCAATTGCTTGGCAAACAATTATTAATTTTTCATCAAGCGCGCGCGGCCAGCGCTCGGCGGACTTTGGCCGACTTTGCTCGCGGCACTTTTTCTGACCTTTTGGCTAATTTGGTTTAAATGGATGCGAGAGCTGAGCTAAAAGCCAGCCATGCCTCAGCGCCTGCTACTTAGGCGAGAGTGTGTGGATGTCTCTCCCTGTCCTCTGTCTCTTTCTCTCTGTGTGTGTGTGTGGGTGTGTAGCATCACGTATACGCATCGTTAGCCGCGCTAAGTTATGGCCAACACGTAACATTCACAAATAATAAGGATAATGAAAAATACACAGGGGAGAGATTAGCGTTAAGGGCGAATCGCCATTTTTTAGCTGCTGCCGCTGCTGTCGCTGTCGCCGCTGCTGCTGCCCTTGCGGCTTTGGTTTTGACCTAAAAGCTCCCCGAATGCGACCTTTGTTTCTGCCTGCTCTCCTGTTTTTTTTTTTAGCGGCTTTTTCTTCTTCTTTTTATATTTTGTTTGTGCGACCAACGCGTTACGCATAAATTATCAAGAGTCGCTAAAAAAAAACACATACAGCGGGCAATGGCGACACCTTATCGGCTCGGCGCTCATTACGCCGCCTCTGCCGTTGTAGCGCAGCCGGCTGGGGGCGTGGCAGAGTCGCGTGACAGCGCAAAAATTGAAAATTTATTGCCACGCCTTGTGGCTTAAGAATCTATGCCGAACAAAATAAAAAACAGAGGCAGAGACAAGTAAAGTTTTTTCTTTTGTTAAATTGACTTTTTAAAGTGACCGCAAAGAAAAAGCAAATGAAATTGGAAAATAAAACCAAAAACTGGTAAATGTGAAACGTGAAATATGCAAATAATTCAAACAGTCAAAGAACTCGCAACTGTCAGCTCCACCAAAAGAAGGCGAACAGGAAAAGGGCAAGAGAAAAGCGAACAGCTCGAAAAGCAACAACTGCTAAGCGAAACAAAAATTGAAGCCATACAGTGGCTGGCAAGAGTATATCGATGTGTATATATATTTTATATATATATATATACGATGTAGTATATATATATATATATTGTGTAATCTGTGTATGTATGCCGTATATATTTCTTGTCACTATATATATAATAGGAGCAGTCACAGTCAAAAGTATATGGACAGCCCACATATGTCGCAATTTGCTGCTTAGTAATCCCTAGATCTCTGCTCGACATTTTCATTTCATATAACATAACATATTTTCTACCAGAAAAATATATGTCTATATATATATGTATATATTTATTTAAACCTCTTTGATGAAAAAAAAAAAAAAATACTATTAAGCCCTATGAAGTGTGATTAACATTATTCGTACTACACTCTTTTGGAAATAATATACCATATTAAAAGGAAGGCAACAGATCATCGAAAACGAATTTCTTTCGGCTCTAGTAACAAATTGCCAATCAAATAAATTTCTTGGTGCAAATACTTTTGACAAATACTGTATCATATATTATATATAACAACATATATATGTTAGATATTATATATGCCGTCTGCCAGGTTGGGTAAGAAAAAAAAGGAAAAGAAAACATTAAGCTTAGCACTTTCGACTGACAGGCAGGGCAATAACAACAGCCGAGACACACGTGTCGACTCCTGTCTGTGAAGAAGCTCTATACAGCTAGCGCTCCCTCTCCCACTCTCCTTCTCACTCTCTCTCTCTCCTTCTCTATGTCTATCTTTCACTCTATCTGTAGCTCTGGCATATTTGCCTGCGTCAAGGTCGAGCCGGGCCAGTTTCATGCTTCACACTTCACACTTCAAACACACACACACACACACACACACACACACACACACGCGCATTTACAATATTTTCGTTTTCTTTTTCCTTTCGCTTCTGCCCTTTTTCTCTCCCGATTCGCGCTGGCGCTCATGTTTCTCAAGTGCAAATGAGTTTTGCCTCCTGCATGCCCCTCTAATGCGCTGTAAAATTTCAGCTATTTTCGCTAAATTTTCTTAGTGGTTTTCATATTAAGCCCGAGGCATTTGTAACGCTAGACGCGCGATCTTTGGCTTACGGGGTTTAGATAAAATGAGAGCTCAGGTTAAGGTAAAGGCGGCAGTGGGGGCGGTGCCAACGCAGCATGTGGCAGGCGGTACTCAGTCAGCCGTTGAGGTTGCTGGAAGTTCGAGTGAGGTCGGCTGTCAGGCAGCTTAAAAACTGCTAAGCACTTTGGCCACGTTGACTTAAGCAGCTTTCGTGCTTAACTGCCAGCAGACAGCAGCACCCCAACATATTGGCAGGGCATTAAAATATTACGCATACGCACTGTGTGCCCCCTCTCACTCTCTCTCTCTCTCTCACTCACTCTGAGTAATATGCGCCCGCTATAGATATAAATAATCATTTTGGCAGCAACATGACAAGTGCGCGCACACACAGCCGAAAAGCATTTCGTATCGTGCTCCACGGCCATAGAGCGTTCGCTAAACGTCCGCAAGATTGACAAGAAATATTTATTATTAATAATAGACATGCGAGCAGCAGCAGGCACAAGGCTTGCTGACTTCATTATTTATCGCTTTACAGTCAGCTTCCGCTCTCTTCACTCTTCACTCTACAGGGTAACTAGCTAGTCGTGCTGGTCTGCTGCTGCTCCTGCTGTTCCTTTTGCTTATTGCTGGACATCCGGCCGGCTCATTGCTAGAGCAAAAAGTTTTATTACTGTTGCCTACTTTCAGGCATAATATAATTCACACTCTCGCCCGCTAAGCCGCTGCCAGCTGACATGCGCACGTATCGAGCCAAAAAGCTAAAGGCGAGCAGCGGCGGCCAAATGCGCGACTTTTAGCCATTTTATTAGCAGTGCGTGTTTTTTTACTATTATAGCGAGTCACACACACACACATAATTCCTCTCCCTCTATATCTCTTGGCACCACTTGACCTTAGACTCGGTTTTTGGGCTTGAGCGCGCGTTTGGATTTTTTTTTGCCTCTACTTTTTTCTTTTTTTTTTTTGGGTGTTGTGTGTCTAAGCATTTACATTCCTCTTAACATGCGCAATATATTTCGACTTGTCAGTGCGTATGTGTGGGCGCCTAAGCGTGTGTGTATGTGTGTGTGTGTGTGTGCTGTCATGCATACAAATGCAAAGATAAAGAATCTATACTTATTCCAGCTCTACAGCTAATATATATATTTGTTAGCCGCACACACACACACACACACACACACACACACACACACATAACTGTCATATATAAGCGTTTTTGCTGCTGACCACCAAAATCGACCTGACCCGTCATTAAGTGGCTCTGCTTTGTTCCTGGCCACCTCCTGCTCCACGCATTGTTGTTGTTATTAATGACGCACTTTTATTGTCTGCAGACTTTTAATGTATATATAGATATACATAATATATATATACGTGGATATATATATACATAAATATATGCGCATATAGTATATATTTAAATTTACAGTCAATGCAGCGTGACCATCGAACATTCCAAAATTGCCAACGGCTGTTCACGACTGCAGAATACTTGTTCGACTGCTGCTTATACCTAGTCTCCATAGTCTCCACAGTCTACACACAGTCTTCAATCTCCAACCTCAACTCTTTAGCCTTAGCTGCCTAGTCTCAGTTTTCCTCTCTCTAGCTTCAAGTCTTCAGTCTCAAGACTCTAGTCTCAACTCTCTGCACTGCATGCAGCCCGAAGGAACATGAAACTAATATACTCTCTTTAAACATTTTACAAGTGAGTATTTAAAATAAAGAAGAGCAGCAAAAGCCAAAAAAAAAAGCAGTGAGACTTGACGTCATTGGCAAAACAGGCGCATAAATTACATGCACACACACCGACACACACACACGCACACACACACTGACAAAAGGACAATGCGCATGTACTCAACAAATACGAAAACGAATACAAATTCAATAACAAATACAAGTGCAGGGCATAAGACGCACACACACACAGCGTGTAAGAACGAGAGAGGAACAGTGATATGAGTCGAGGATATGGATATGGTTATGTGTAGCTCTGTCGCTGTGTGTGTGCTGCTTGGACTGCATACGCATGCCTAAAGTATGAACTATAAAAATTTACGAGGCAATAAAAGTGCGAGCTGCTATGCTACGCTGTGTTTTATGGCTAACAGCAAAAGGCAGACAGTAGGTAAATATGAGAGAGAGCCAAGCTAAGGGCTGAGGGCTGAGGGCAGAGCGGTGGGAGCTTAAACAGTTTCTGGCGCTCTACGATTTCAGCCAAGCGCAGTTTCCATTTGGCCAAGGCCGAAAGAGTTCACGTGTGTGTGTGTGTGTGTGTGTGTGTGCTGGCTGCTTAAAAGTTTGTGCGCTTCGTTTTATTTTTTTCACATTTTGCATCGCTGATTGATTGATTGATTTAATACACTTTTCCTTTTACAACATTCCGCGCTCTTGAGTTTATATGTGCTCTTCCTCTACCCTCCACTGCTCTCCTCTCCAGTCCAGTCCGCTGGTCAGTCAGTCATATTCCACCTGCTTGAGCACGCAATCCATTTTCAAGAAGACGACGATGAGCCAGAGCCAGGCAGCAGCAGTGGAAAAGCGAGCAACTTAAGACTCAGCGTGGCGGAAATTTAATTTGGCTATGGGTCAGCCGCTCACAGCTGGGCTGCCCGGGCAATCAAAGTTTCCTAATTAAAGTAAACATCAAGTTGAACATTATCGTAGTTAGTTCGTTAGTTAGTTAGTGAGCGTTGCACTCCGGCTCGATTCAAATTAGCACGAGGCGTATACTTAATAAATTGCTTACTAATAAGCCAGCGGGCAGCACTGAGTGCACTGAGAGCGATGGCTACGTTTATCCATGGCTCTCAGTCCAAACAGCTCTCCGGCTCGCTCCTCCAATCGCCATTAGCATTATCGATCTGTAATAACTCTTTCTGTATCGAAATTATATTCTTATTAGGGTCAAAGCAAGCAGCTTATGCTTATCTCCAAATCTAGCCAGAAAGCCACTTAGACCACATTCAGGTATATTTGCTTTGCCCAGGTAAATATTGGCGCTGTACTGACCCTATGGCATGGCTTTTGATGTAATTTACTTATCAATATTAGCGCTTGTTCAATAAAAACAAAAGCAAAAATATAGGAAAAAACAAAAAAGAAAGGAATGTGTGACGCCTCTTTTGACGTGGGTCAAGAGACCCTGGCCAGACTTTGTCCCGTTATTTAAAATGCATTTTGTTTGACCAGACTAATTGGATTAATCGGCGTTTGCCTTCATTTTAATCGATTCTGCTTTTGTTTCTATATCATAAATTGACCCGCTAAAATAAACACCACGGCGTCTGCCAAGGTTCATCAGCTACTTAAGAGCCCGAACATTCTGGCGGGTCATTGAATTTTTTATTATGAGTGACAGTTGAAATTAGCTCTAATTTTATAGAGTTTTGCAAGTATGGAAATGTATGTGGGGCTGTTGAGATATATTTATAGGATATTGTGTACATTGGCATAAATTGGCGTATGTATTACTAGATTATTGAAAACAGATTATTGAAATCTCATATGCCTCTCTCTGCGATTTTCATGAACTCAATTTAGCCGTTGAAAAAATCTCGTTCGATTGAAATACATTCATAAGTATAATGTTGTATCTTTTAATTAGCTCACACTATCGCTTTGCTAGATACGTTTTCTAAATCCTCTAAAAATATAATAATATACTAATCATAAATTTTTCTGCAAAACTGCAGCAATTCGTAGTAAAAATAAAGGATTTACCAAAATTATGTTAAATTTGATCATTTCTTATAACTAAAGGAAAGGAATGTAAAGGCTTTGTGAACATAATTTCTGCAATTGTAAAGCCTTTCTATGCGATTTTCATAAATTCACAAATGAAATAACCCGCAGGTCTTTCATCATAAACACAACAAACTCAAATTGATATCGACTATTATATATTGCTTGTTCAACTCTTTTCTTACAGTCATTAAATACAGCCTTAATATATTTTCTGTATTTTCTCGAAGAGCCTTCAATGAGCTCTAAAACTATATCAAAACTTATTTCCTTCTTTCTGCCACACATAAATAATTATGTTGCAATTGAATTAAAATTGTGGCTTAATTAGAAGAGAAATTGTTGTAAAAGTACGAGTGGACTTTGTGTTTGTTAACTCAATGAGATTCCAGCTAATAATCAATTTTTCAACATGGCTACAAAGTTGATGTAATTACATTACATATAAGGACGTTTGCGTGATCCAAAAATAAACACAAATTAGACAAGGACAATGGGGAAAACAGTTTATATAACTGTGTGTGTGTGTGTGTGTGTGTGTATGGTGGTTCCATCAACATGAACTGTGGCGCTGAGGGAGGGAGGGCGGCAGGTAGAGGGAACGAATCAATAAATGCCATGTAGAGGCAATAATCGTAAATAACACGCTGAGTTTTCGTATGTCAATCAAAAGCTTTATTATTTCAACAGTTTGCAATGGATTTCGTTTCGGCAGGTAGAGCAAGGCTGAAGGATATCTTTTAACTAGCAATTGCAGTGAGCAAAGAAAAAAACGAACGATGAAACTTTGGATTTATATATAGGTCGCATTTGCTGATTGCCAAAAAAAAGAAGTAGAAGAAGAAGAAGAAGCAAAAGTGTAGGCGACGAGTGTACAGTCCTTTAACGCAATTTGTGATTGCACTTTGGACTTGGCTTATTTGCCAGGCTCTTGTCTAACTTTCTCACTCCCTCTCTCTCTCTCACTCACCACTCTCTTCCCCTCTCACACTTTGATTGCAGACCAAAAGTCAATACTCACAGATAACGATTGGAAGAAGCTATGGACGCGCAATGGCATAAATGCCGATTCCAAATTGGATAATAATCTCGACTCCAGCGACAGTCCCATGTTCGAGGACAGCGAGGTAAGTAAGAATTGACAAACTGACTCAATACAGCACCAGGACAGGAACAGGATAGTCGATGAAGAGCACCCAAGTGTGTCAACGAAATTGAATTGAATGCAGAGCTAGAGGTAGAGTGTGCCCAACGTACTCATAGCCCCAACCGCTAGCCACCGTTAGCCTGATCAATATGCTAATGTGCAATGTCCTGCGAAGGACATGCAAATCGAGTTGAAAAGCGCGGCTAATGCTAATTACTATACAACATGAAGACGCGCCGGCTCTAATTAATCTTTTAGTGCTTATTTATACTACACTCGCGCCCGACTTTAACTATCCAATCAGCCAAAGAGGCCAAGCCGTAAATTTGCTCAAACTACCACTACTAAGTATGTTTGAGTATATATATCTATGTCTAGCTAGACATCTGCATACAGGGTGAGGCAATTGAACTGTTTACAGCGCGTGACTTATGAGTGGTTCTACAATTAAATTATGTTCTGGTCTGATCTACGAAATTTGTACTGCTAAGATTATAAGTTAGCATATTCTCTTCTGATTCTGAGCATATTCCCGCTGAAATGATCTTTTCATCTACAGAGGAAAGGAACTGTATAAGTTACAAAGTATTTAAGAGGCAGCAAAAAGCTTGCCAAACCCCATCTATTATTGACCAGAACGATGACCTGAGTCGATTCAGCTTCATTTGCCTGATTATTTCTTGAGTATATTCTTTACATGGAATGCATATACAAGTGTATATATACAAGCTATACAGTATATTGGAGACCAGAGAATATCCTTATAAAGAATTCCCTACTAAAACTTTCATACTTACTTCATGCCCGGTTCCATTAAATACCACAAAGATCATAACCATAGACATTGATTGTTCTGACCATCAATGTTCACTGTCTTGGGCATGTATCCGAAAATTGCTCTTTCCGTTAGGCATAAGCTATATAAAATCTATTGTCAAACTCTTCTGTTAACAAATTTCAGAGCTATCAAATTTGTAGGGCTTTCTAAAGTCACCATTCAAAATCTTTAGTCATCCAAGATCTCCAGTGTTGGCTATTCAAAATTTCCAGTGAAACTGTATACAAATCTATAGTCTCCATTCGAGCTCTTTAGCTATCCAAGATCTCCAGTCAAAATCTTTGGCTATTCAAGATCTCGAGTCAAACTGTAGAGCTATCAAAACTCCATTCAAGGTCTTTAGCTACACAAGATCTCCAATCCAATTCTTTGACTATTCAAATACTCCAGCAAAGCTGTATACCAATCTGTCTTCATTCAAGCGCTTTAACTATCCAAGATCTCCAGTCTAACTCTTTGGCTATTCAAGATCTCATATCCCGCGTTTTTGGCAATCCCAGATTAAATTTTTTCAGACTATTCAAATAACTTTGTAATAAATTCCCTTTCAATTCCACGCAAAAGCTCATCACATCAATTTGAATTAGCCAATTAAAACAAGCCCCAATCATTAGCTCGCCCGTCTAGCCAGTTTTAATGCCTCAATTTTTTTTATTTTTTGGCTTAGATCTGCTGCAAGTAAATTACGTATTTTTCTTCTAGCCACAAAACGTGACAGTAATAAAAAAAAGAACACGAATGCAGCTTCAAAATTTTATAGTCGTCTAATTTGGGCAACAGCTTCATCAGCCTCACCCTGTATGCGTCTAGCGTTTCAAATTCTGCTGACTAATTGTGCAGTCAGACAGCATTTGATGGTATTTTTAATACCCCAATGACGATTGTGCAGCGGGTATGATGGGCTAGTGCACAAGCATGTAACAGCCTGTAGTAGAAGATATTAATGCAACTTATAATTGAAGATGCCAAAATAAAAGTTCAGTCAACTTAACATAGGAGATCCGGGCTAGCATTGAGTCGTGCATACCCGCCTAAAATACTCAAACTCTTTGGCATTTTATAGCATTCCTTGCTTGCCTTTTAGCTTTACTTTTACAGGTAACACATGAAAAATGAACTTTTAACTTTTTGTCTTGTACTTTTCTCCTCCACCCAACTCCCTTTCTTCCCTTCCCCTTTTCCACGTTTCTATTTTCTTTCACCCACAGCTGATGGCGCACAATACAACCGTCCAACTGGGTGGCACCGCCTTTCTCGTCTGCAAAGTCACCGGCGTGGATCGTGTGGGTGTAAATTGGGTTTGTTTAGCTTTGTTCTTGTCTATCCTCTATATCTAATTGTGTGGCGAAGGTGCCTCCTGCTTTAAGCTTCCACTTTAAGTTTGGCTTGCATTTTATTTGCTGCATATATTGCATATTTTCCGATTTTCAGTTTTTAATTATATGGCATTTAGCTCTGGCATTTTATTTGTTTGCATATATATATGAGAATTTGGTCGGTTCGTCGTCGAATCGGGACACGCAATTGTCCAATTTGTTTTGGCAGCCGAGCACGAAACATACAAAATGTGAATGCTTAATTTGCAGCTGAAAGCTAGAAACCGTTTGCCATGACATTGTGTACACTTTGTTTGGCATTCAACGTTTGCTAACAAGCAATTAAATGCTACCCCGAAAAAACAAAAAAAATACCAAAACAATAACAATAAAATACGACACGCAATGGAACCCAACGGGCATAGAGACATGGACACCGAGCCCATAATTGAGCCAAAGCATGTGACAAAATATCAATTAATCAGAGTCAGGCGAAATTCCATTCACAAGAGCTGCGGAGCATTTTTTATAAATTTCTCGCTAAATGCAACAATTATCAGAATATTTATTAGGATTAAGAGAGCTGTGCTAGGCAGCAAAACGGCTCTGATATATTCAAATGGAGAGCAGTTAGGCAGAGAGTGAATCCATATTGAATTTTCAGCATTATTGAAAAGTTAAAAACTCACCTTAGCATTGAGAGTAATATATTATATACATACCTGTGAGTTATATCCAGCAATGGCCAAAGCAAAGGGATGCTTCAACCCTTTTGAACCAGATCTCTTGCCTTAGCTATTCAGCTTTCTTTGTCTTATCATGCTTGTGCCAATTATCTAGCAGGAAGTGGGCAGCCAAAGGTCAATCATCTAGCGGGCTCTTGCTGTCCAACTTCCTGCTAAAATCCATACAAAAATCTTATTTACTCAGCTTTAAAAAAAAATAATAATAATAATAATAATAATAAATAATAAAGAAATAAATAAAAATAAATATGAATTTTTTTGATATAGCTAAAAGTAGCCTACTAAATATCTTAATTTAAATTTGAGCATTGAAGAAAGAGCTCACAGAAAGATTCCAATGAAATATTAATTTATCAAAAAAAAGAAAAAAAAAAAAAAAGTTTATATAGTAGAGAGCGAGAAATAGAGAGTCTCTATCGTAGGTTTTCCTATGACTAGAACTTCTCTAGCAAGGCTTCAATATGTTACCCAGAGCTCTCCTACTGGTTTATTTTTTATGCTGATCGAGAATAATATATATATATATATATATATATATATATATATATATATTTTTTTTTTTTTTTTTTTTTTTATTTTTTTTTTTTTTACTTAAACAGGCTAGAATAATATATCAAGACACTTTTTTCCTTTTATAATTACTTATTTTTATTGCCTTTAAACAAAACTCTTTATATATTATACAACCCCATATTTATAAATTTTTTAAATATTTAAGCTTTCATTTAAACTCATTCATAGCAACTCAACCTGTTGTTAAGCTTGCATTTGCAAAACATTCTCCTAAAATTGCAATTCACACACACACACACATACTCATGTATATATATATAAAATACCCACAGCTCTACATACACCTCTTAACACTGCGATTTTAAAGTGCTTTCCATAATCAAATACATATACTTATACGTATTCGCCGCACTAATTGCATGCATTTGTATTGCGAGTGAATTGCGAATTTTCTGTTTTCTGTTGCCTACTTTCGAGCGCGCTTGCAATTAACATAGACAATAATGGGATGTGCGATTGTGATTGCGTTCTTTATTGAATTTTGCATTTAATTTTCTCACATTTTGCTGTTGTTGGGCAAAACAGAATCAAATATCTTGGATACGTCGCCGGGACTGGCACATATTATCCTCGGGCGCCCAGCTCTACACAAATGATGAACGCTTCGCGATACTCCACTCGCCCGGCTCCAACATGTGGACGCTGCAGATAAAGTTTGTACAGCGACGGGATCACGGCATGTACGAGTGCCAGGTGAGTGCGAAAGAGAAAGAGAGTGAGAGAGAGAGTGAATGAGAGAGAGTATGCATTGGAATTGCATATATTTTATGCATGCAATGCAGTTGAAATGAACTAAAGTGCATTTGCATATGCTCCATTTTGGCGTACGGACCCAGACAGCCCGGCGTATACGCAATATTGAGGTTTTTGGGTTTTTTAACCCATTTCTTTCATTTTTTTGTTTTCATTTTTTCATTTTGTTGTTTGGTTTTTACGTTGATTTCGCCGGCGCATGATTTAATTGTAATATGCAAATGGCGTTTCGTTTTAAGACAACCTGCTGCATGTACGCATGGCACGCAGAGCACATGTGACGTTGACAGGCCAGACGCTGCGGCTGCCAGATAAACTGGACATTGACATATTTAGCCACTGACTGAAACGCAAGCCCCCCCCTCGAATGTGTGCAAAGTAATGCAGAAAGTAAGCCACCCAACCAGCCAGCCAGCCAGCCATACAAAAGCCCGAAAGTCAAGCGGATATGGCAAGAGGCGTGTCTTGGCTACAGATGGTGGAGTCGAGTCGAGTCGGTGGACTGAACTAGGCGAAAGGCAACAAAGTTTGGGCAACGCCTGAAACGGACACTTGACAGTAACTCTGTTTGTGCAGCAGCCGCACAAGTGCTGCGCCGAGACTTACAGCTAAGTAGAGAGACTAGTAGAGAGAGGTTGCAGATAGTCATGGAGAAACAGCGAGCGAGTGAGAGCGAGATACTGATGTAGTTGGGGCAGCCTCGAAAAAAACGTAGCTTCAATTTCAAAAATTGTTTGCATGCAATTTCAATATAAGAGCCGAGGCTAGCGCAGCAAGGGTAACAGAGGAGCTCTGTCCGCCTGTCCGTCTGTCAGTTGGTGCTGCCTCTCGACGAGCACTGCATGCAAATATGCCGAAATGATTATTTTTCCTTTTTGCAGTGCAGCTCGTTCATCTGCCCTCTGGTTACTTTTGTTCGTAGCTACATATACTTATATACACAACATACATACATGCATATATATCTATATATATATATATATGTATATGCATATGTATATGTATTGAAAATGGTTCGTTTTTGTTTCATTTTGCGTGCCAAATTGAAATTGTTTGATTTGCATTTCAATGAGTGCAACATTTCTTTGCAGTCAAAACGTTTCACTGCACCAAAGCCAGTTAGATCGACAGATATTGATATAGTGAAAGGGAGTGAGAGAGGGGAGAAGTAAAGGGACAGAGAGTCTGTTAGATGCAGCACAGCATTAACATTCGAGTTGATTACGACAAATGCTTAAGCAGCGGAACATGCGTATCGAACAATTCTACCCAAATATCCCGCTCAACTGGCATTTGGCATTATTTGCTTGACTCTATCTTTTGTGTATTTATTTTTGGGCACAGGTATCCACACCGACTGGCATCATTTCGCACTTTGTGAATCTTCAAGTGGTTGTGCCCGAGGCATTCATACTTGGCTCTGGTGAACTGCATGTTGACATGGGCTCAACAATCAATTTGGTTTGCATTATCGAGAAGGTGAGTACAAATTTATTACGAATATATGTAAAAAGAAAATAACGAAATATACACAAGCGAAATACCGAAAAAGTCAAATTAGTTAAATGTAGAAATAAAATAATATTGAACGGAATGAAGGCTCCCCATATAGAAACATAAATATGCATAATAGTTGTTTGACAAAAGGAAGAATAAGAACTAAAAATTCTATCGATAAATCGATTTTTGTATCGGAAAATTGAAATACAAAGAAGCAAATCCTGCCAGCAGTTAAGAAACATATATCAAATCAATTTCATTTCTCTTATTTGCTCAGATAATATCCACCAGAGCTAAATATATGGTATTATTGCTTATCGATAATTATCGATTTTATTAAATTCATATATGATATTTTTGTGCAGCGCATTATATATTTCACATTATATATTACACTTATACTCAATACATTTTATACATATTTATTATTGATTATCGATAAATATCGATTTTATTAAATTCATATAATAACTGAATATCGCCAGCGCTCATTTTATATTTTTATGTAACACATTATATATTTCATATTATATATTATACAATACTTACACTCAATACATTTTATACATATTTCTTGTCTTTCTTCTCCCACTCTCTTTCATCTCCTCCGCTGTAGAGTCCCACACCACCGCAGTATGTGTACTGGCAAAAAAATGATCGTCTCATCAACTACTATGACTCGAGGCGAGACATATCCATTGAAACGACACCGGGTCCACGCACACAGAGTCGCCTCATTATACGGGAGCCCCAAATCACCGATTCTGGCAACTACACCTGCTCTGCCAGCAACACCGAGCCAGCTAGCATTTATGTCTTTGTATCAAAAGGTGAGTGAAATCGTGAAATCATGAAATCTGAGCGAGGATTTAGCAGCTGTTACAGCAGCTACAGCTGCCATTGCCGTTGCCGTTGCCGTTGCCGTTGCCGTTGCCGTTGCCATTTCTGCTGCTAATGCAGCTCAGCTCAGGGCAGCTGCTTAGCGTGCAAATTGTTAAGGAGAGTGTGGGGCAGAGCTGGTGGCATTGCCGGTTATTGTTGTTGCACGTAACAGTTGCATGCAATTTGCATGACTGCCTCGCGGCCAAATTGAATTTCTTGTGATTTTAGCATTTAAATAGCCATCGCGAGCGATAAGAAGTGTAAATGAAAATATGCAAATGCTTGCAGCGAGCGAGCGAGCGCGCGTCGCCTGCAGCTTATTAAAATGTTAATGAAAATGCAGAGTATCTGTCGCCAGTTATTGCCATATACAACAACAGCAACAAGGAGTCAAATCTAATTCACATTTCTCTTACACTCTATCTTTCTCTCTCTCTCTCTCTCTCTACCTCTTTCTCTTTCACTTACTCAGGCGACAATATGGCTGCCATATCGAGGCGTAAAACTTCCTCGGCCGATCGCATTACGCACATATTTAGGTCAATGCTGGCGCCCTGTCTGCTGCTAAACACGGTTGTCGTTAGGTAAGTACACCCCGGCCTCAACTCCTGCTATATATAAATATTGTTTTTGTTTTCCATATCTATTTAACTTGCTGCTGCAGACGCATTTTCTTAACCTAAGCAACCAAAATTAAAAGAAAATTACAGCGCATAACGTAAAAATAAAAAATAAAACAAACAAAAAATTAAATATATATATGATATATATATATATATACATATATATAGTAAAGAATCCTATTTAAGCTATTTCAATGTTAGAATTTAAACAAAACAAAAAACAATATATATAAATACAAAAAAATAAAAAAATAAAAAATAAATAAAAGTAAACCAAAATCTAGCGTAAAATTTAAGCTAAGTTCCATTTAAAGAAAATAAAACATAAAATCTGTGTAAAAATCATGTTATAAATCTATCTCTGTCTCTGCTAGGCATTTACAAGTTAAGTTTAACTTACCAAAAAAAAAGAAAGAAAAGAAAAAAATCATTTTTCATATTAATTGTGTACAGTATGTTTAACCAGTTTGATTAAGCACTAACTTACAAATATATATATAATACTAAAATATTTATATATCTATGTCTGTGCGTCATGTAAAATGCATTAGTTAAAGTAATTGTTAAACTATTCTAACAAATTGAGTTCAGTTTGAATACTTTTATTTAATTTTTGTTAATTTTTTTTTCGATATAGTTGGTTAAAAGCAATTGCAATTGGCTAATTGCAATTTGGTTCAAGCTTTTTATGGCATACTCTGAACACACAGAACGTGCATAAGAGAGGATTTATAGTGGCCTGGCATATATGATCAGGAATACAATATAAGTAGAACAACCAGCTCAGGCTTATCTGTCCTTCTGTTTAAAAATTTAGGAAATCTCCACGTCACCAAAAAACACATGGAAATATAATATAATCTGTTAACCATCTTCTCCATAATATCTTAACCCATTCTCCTTCAAATTTGTTATCAAATATTATGTCCTCTGGTAAACGAGTATACTGTCTGAGATGATCTGTAGTAAAAGCGAGCTATATCTCTCTCTATCAAGGCATATAAGTATACCACGAATGCCTCAAAGCACTTCTATGGTTCAGGGTATTATCTAGTCGGTCATGCTCGACTAGCACACTAAGTTCATTCGTTTTTTTTTTTTTATACCCTGAACCCATTGAAAATGGGAAATCAGGGTATAATGGTTTTGTGAAAAGTATGTAACAGGCAGAAGGAATCATCGCAGACCCCATAAAGTATATATATTCTTGATCAGGACGACGAGCTGAGTCGATATAGCCCTGTCCGTCTGTCCGTCCGTCCGTCCGTCCGTATGAGCAAAAGGATCTCTGAAGATATAAGAGCTAGAGAGCTGAAATTTGGCATGCATACTCGTGTATACCATAGGCAGTACAAGTTTGCTTTATTTTTTCGATAACTCATCCGATAACTTTTTTATCGAGAATAATCGAAAAATCGACTTTGTTTTTTCAGCCTAATTTGAACACTTTTAGACCTAGAGACTTCAAATTTGCGTTGTATATAAAGTTAATGGATACAAAGATTTTGTAATTTACAGATTTTGGATACCACGCCCCATTCGCCCCCAATTTGTAAAAAACGCATTTCAAGTACTAGAGACTTGTGCTTTGGAATGTACACACATTTTAGCCATATGATTACGCTTTAAAAGTTTCATTAAGATCATACGTCTACAAAAGAAATTATTCAACAAATAAATTCTCATAATATTGCCCACATTGCAGCGCAGCCCCAGCGCAGTCGCTGCTTACTGCGCAGTTAGCAGAGCGCGTGCTTATAAGTGCATGTGTATGCATGTATGAATAAAAGAAGTCCAGAATGATTAGAATATCAGCTTGGAGGGTTCAGGGTATCTCCTAGTCGAGCAGTCTCGACTGGAGCCTTCTTACTTGTTTTTTTTTGGTCCTCAGCAGTTGTAAACAGCATGGATCACACTTTTAGATTTATATACACATACATATATAACTACTATATATCTATGCAAAATACATATTGACATAGAAAAAAAAATACATTTTGCATAAGTAGCCAATTTCAGTCCATAAAAATTATATTACAAACGAAACAAAAAACAGGCATACCAAAGCGTTATTATTATTACTGTTACTAATTACTAAATGGAAACCCAAAACATAGAGATTAACACACAAAAAATAATAATGAAAATAAATAAATATTTAAAAAACAAAAAGGAATTATAATTAATTGCATTATTAAGTTTGTAAATAAAATAAATTGCATTGCAAATGGCAAATGGCAAACACAACAAAACAGAGCAAATAATATGAATATGTATGCATATATTTAATTTCAAGTGTAAATACAGCTAACAAATGACAACAGCAACAACAACAACAACAACCACACACAAAAATGACTGAATGAATAAATAAATAAAAAAATAAAATAATAAATATAAATAAATTGTTGTAAAACTATATAGGGCAGAAGTAAAGAGATGAAAAGCCAGATAAAAGCAGCTGAGTGAAAGAGTGGAAAAATCGATTGCCAGACAGTTGGAGAATTAGCTATAGCTCGAAACTATATATACACACACACACATATATACATATACATATATATATATCTAGTATATATATAGCATAAGTGACAGCAATCAGCCAAGAGAAAACAAAGAGATAAATACAAAGAAAGGAGGCTTACTTTAGATGTTGCTGCTTCAAAACTACAAATAGAAGAGAACTTAGAAGATTCATTAAAAAAAAAGAAAAAAAACTAAGAGTTAAACAAGAGAAAATCAGAAAAATCAGCTAAGCAAAATTGTTAGCCATAGTAAAAGCAACTAGCATAGAGCATGCAACATTTCATAATTACATTCTACGCTTTCTCAACAACAACAAAAACTAATAAAAAATAAAACAACATATAAAACGCCTAATTAAACACAACACCTGAAGATTAAAACAACATCTACGTAATCAAATATGTACAATTCTCTCGACTGTTTTTGTTTTGCTCGCGCAACTAGAAAACTAGAAGAGACAAAAAATAGAACTCATTAAATATATATAGAAAAAAAGAAAACATATTTGTGTGTTGTACAATTAAATGAAACTTAACGAAAAATTAAAAACATTGCTGTCGGCGGGTTTAATCGACTGCGCAATACTTGTTCATGCTGAAAAGAGAGTTTAATTTGAGGCAAATTTCAAGATTTTCCTCAAACCTCTTTACTGTCAAATCGTGAAAAATGTACTTGGCCTGATACTTGTGGAATATTATATTCATCTCCAGAGAAACTCGATAGACAGCTACTTGCCAAGACTAAGGATTTAAACTAAACGTCAGTGGAAGTCAGGAAATACTTGCTTCCATCAGAAATTCTTGCTTCCACAAAGGGTAATTTGTGTACATAAGCAATTCCTTCTGAAAGCGCATGTACTCCAAATTTATACTGTAGTACAGTCCGCAAAACCAATATACTCCACTTTTGCCAGTCTGAACAGGTATACACCAAACGTATGATATACAAAATAGAGAAACAACACAAGAAAAAAATGGAAAAAGATTAAAATACAAATACATTCATTGCCATATATAAAGCATAACAAAAACGTACATTACTCAAATAAACATAAAAGAAAAAAAAAAAAAAGAAAACAAAAAACCAACGCAACTGTTAAAGAATTTCATGAAACTTTAAATAGATTCATTAGTGTGAAAAAGACGCGTAAATTAACAAACATAATATGAATAACAAATTTATGAAGAGAGCAAAGCCGATACAAAATACTGTTAACTGTCTCAATATGTGTGTGTATGTATTTGTATTTGCATTTGCATTTGTATTTGTGTGTGCCTCCCGCCCCATTGCCCCCGTATTCTGAGAAGCCAGCAATCACATTCTGATTTATATTTGATAAATGAAAATTTATAATAATATTATTATGAATATACATACATACATAAATGAAACAATGAATAATATAATATGAATATTGTTTGGTTTCCAATTGTTAAGCATTTTTTACTGTAAATATTTTAATTCAAGCATATTGGTCTATGGCCGCTAATAGCCATTAACTAATTAATGGAATGGAGCATGCAAAAAAGTAAAGAAACAAAATGAAATTAATATAAGTATGTACTGTATTCAATAAATGAAAATGAACAAAGAGTAAAAAATTATGAGCAAAAAAAAAAAATAAAATAAAAATAAAAATAAAAATAATGCGAAAAAGTCATTTAAAAAGTTTTCAACGTAAAATGCGCTCAGCGCGCATTTATGTAAAATTTAAACTTTGATGAATATGAATTTAAAAGTAAACAAAAAATAAAAATTTAAACTTTAAAACAAAACAAAAATAGCCATATATTGAGTGCAGGAACATATGAAATGCATTCACCACACACACACACAAGTGATTATCATGAGAAAATAAATGTAATTTAAATATTGTAATAACTAAAAAAAAATATATAAAATTTGTTTTATTTCACACTTTAACTTAGTTGGGCTTCAACAAGGGCGAAACAAATTTTGATTTCTTTTGGTCCACGCCAATCAGCTAGCAGCACTTGAAGTTACTTCAAATCGTGGGCCATTGTGGCACGTCTTGCGCTATAATTGGACGCCATTGTTGGCACAACACACCAACACACTCACACACACACACACACATTTATACTTATAGCTGAGGCATTTTTCAGCTGTACGCCAATTAAATTTCAGCATTCTTTGTAAGCCTTGGCACTTGGCAGTTTTGCAGTTTGCTTTCTGTCAACATTTTATTCAACGCGCCGCCGTTCATTTCGCCAGCAAACATGTTGCACTCAAGCACTCAGGCACACACACACATACACACTCTCGCACACTCACATTCAATTCGCAATTCTTAAAGGCCAACAAAGTTCTGCTGAAAATCAAATGCATTGAACATTGCCGACATCGTCGCACGCTCTGCCAAAGAACCGAGCGCCAAAAACTTTTGTGGCCACCAAAGTTTTTCGGGCAAAATCAAATGAACCTCGAGTAAATTTTGCCCTGCAACGAGCAGGGGGAGGCGGTCGCCGTGAGACGTGTAGCAGCCGGTAAGGAGCGTAAAAGTAAAACATTGAACTGCAAAAGTAATGGAGAAATTTCAACAGGAAT